AAGCACTGCCCACACGCCAACCTGGGCGCCAGCAGGAGCAGTGGGTGTGTTTGGGCCTGGCGGTGCACCAGCCACACCCCATTGGGTTGGCATCGATGTGCAAGCCCTGGAAGATGGTGCTGGGAACCCCACACAGCCCTCAGGGCAGCTGTCCTCAGCCCAGCCCCTCCTCCAGCCAAAGCAAACAGGGAAACACAGTGGTGGACCATCCTGGCCGGTAAAGGCGCCCGCGTCATCCCAGGGCCGCACGGTCTCCGGGACGATCTGGAATCAGGCAGAATGGTGACAGGCTGGCTGGGGGTGAGGGTGCATGGAAACGCCCAGGGCTGCTTTGCTGTTCCCACACACAGACCACAAGGGCCGCCAGGGACAGGCCCCAGGAGACTGACCATGGAGACACGGCCTAGCTTCTTCCTGTTTGCAGCTGCATGAGGGACAGGGAGACAGTACTGGTGGAGGGGCCTGACCGAGCAGCTGAGGCAGCAGTGGGGGGGCATCTGTGCTGTCTCCTCCCCAGCAACCTCCCAGGGCCCAGCCCAGTGACTAAATGAGGCAGGCTAGGCTGTGAAGGCAGGGGGCCAGACTCACGCCCCCGGCTCTCAGGTGGGGCACAGGGACAGGAGCTGGCTAGTGGCCAGGGCTCCAGCAGGGCCTCCCCCACCCATGGTCTGCCAACTCAGGGAACCCGGGAATCATCCTCCAGAAAGGCCTGGGGGCACCCTCACAGTCCAGCTGGAAGTCGGCCAGTGGGCAGCTGCCTCCTGGCATGTTGACCAGACCAGCCTCCCCTCCACACACCAGCTGAACCCCAGCCCCCACCGTGTTTGGCATGGCCTCAGCACTAGACCTCTGTTTCTCCCTGCTCAGAGGAGCTCCCTGCTGCTGGCAGGTCTGGGCTGGCCCCATGGCCTCTGCCTCCCCTTCCCTGCTCCTGGGCAGACCAGGTCTACATAGTGCACATGCAGGGACCACCCTGCTCCGATGCCAGCCCTGGGAGTGCAGTGTGCGCACAGGGACACTTTGCCAGGGATCTGGAGCCAGCCACTGCCACTCTGCCTTTAGAGCCACACACTCCAGGTGTCAACGCTGCAGCATCCACCACCACCACCCCCCACCGTGGGCTCCGCCTGCCGGGAGACAACACTAGGGTGCGGGTGGGCTCCCATGGCCGTGCTGAGCCCCGCCGCGGCCAGAGGTCCAGAGCGGAGCGGTGGTGGCAGCGTTTCAGCACTGCAGGCACCTCCTCTCCAAAGCAAACACGCACGCGTGGCCCCACAAAGGGCTTTTGTGCTATGAGTACAAGGGTCACTCTGGAAGTGGAGCCGCTAACTCGTCCTTCCCAGGGCTTTGGCTCGCCGCCTGGCACAGGTCTGAATCTGCGCTGGGCGGCCCCTGGAGCGAGTGTGCGTGGGGGCGGGCAGGGGTGCCTGGAGAGTGGCGGGGGTGCCCCCGCTTGCGCGGCCTTGACCTGGAGCCGCAGCAACCCAGGCGGATTCTGGACGGCCAAGGCCACAGAGACCGAGGCCTAGCGGGGAGGGGCTGGCCGGGG